CGAAGTTTTCACGTCTCTCTCTACTTTGGCTATTTTGATTCTTTTTATACAAGCATATAGACGTTCGATACTTGACATAGTGAGATTGAGGGATTGCTTTTCATTTTTGCTTTGATGCAAATGGATTCAGGAGCGTATTCTACGTGTAAAATATAACGAGAGCATTTCAGATTTTGATATAATCATTTATACATTATCCTGTAATAATCTTCTCAAGTCACAAGAGTCGCAAGCAACGTTGCGATGACAGACACACAGTTGCATTTTCCGCACCAACAAATAGGCAACTCGTGTAGTAACATATGGAACTTCTTAATGCATATTCGGTGAACACTTAAGTCATACACACACACACACACACACACACACACACACACACACACACACACACACACACACACACGCACGCACGCACGCACGCACGCACGCACGCACACACACACACACACACACACACTCTCTCTCTCTCTCTCTCTCTCTCTCTCTCTCTCTCTCTCTCTCTCTCTCTCTCTCTCTCTACTTCTCACTCGCTTACACAGCTGATCACATATACAATTATAATCACATATATGTATAAAAAAAATAGTTAAGCTTGGGATACAGAGACGGTATGCTTTAGGAAAATATGCACCGTACAATATTAGGATCTAAGAATCACCCTCTCTTACGATTATACTCACTGTATTACGATCGAATGCTCACTACGATTTTATACACACATCTGGGACACGAAAGCTTCCTCATAGAAAAAGAAAACGTAAGAAACAAATAAGTTAACGAAAGATCGCCGAGTGTAGTTGAGATTGCAGCTGTGAGCACGATGCAACATTAAAATCCCTCCGTTCTCGGGACGTTCGAATATTAACAATTTTATATGATCAATCATCGTTGTGCAGTGAATACACCAGCGATCGACAATTCATAACTATAAACGCAGCAACGAAGCTACATGTGCAACTGAGCATGCGTATATCTTTAATATACTTTGTGAAAAAACGCATGTCTTCACTGAACTGCGATGCGAAAAGGTACACGTCAAGGACTCATCTGCACTCTCGTATGGCAATCAGAAGTTCCTCCGCGAGCGACATTTCTCAATAGTTTTGCACGGCAGATCATCGACATACACACATGCGCGCGTACAACAGATTTCAAAACGGTTTGGATGCAATCCGGCAGCAGACGTTCGACGAGAGAGAGAACTTAACTTCGCTGATATTTGCCAAATACGACTTCTCTTATCGCACCATTAGCTGCGCTCTAAATTGCATCCAAGCAAGAGGTTTCGGTAAATATATAGAAAAGGAATATACCTCACCGACTTTTTTCATTTTGAAATATGTTATAAAGGATGAAATTCTGAGTGACTTTTCCTGATACAATTATACGGGGGTCGCTTATAGTTTCTGAAATATTTGACTTTAAAGTTTTATAATTGTACGTTGAAGTATATTTGAAGCAGAGGTAAATATATAGAAAGGGGTACACCTCACCGGTTTTTTTCATTTTGAAATATATCATAAAGAATGAAATTCTGAGTGACTTCCTGATACAACTATACGGAGGTCGCTTATAGTTCCCGAGATATTTCCCAGCAAGCACATGTGTTATATAACAGTTATATTGTTGAGTAGGAAGTTACAACCAACATGCACGTTACATGTAATATTGTGTTTGCTGGGTTGATTTTAAAGTTTTGGAATTTTGATTATCCTGGAATTAAATTCCAGATATCATAAACTGACGTTATTTACAGTACAATCCAAACAGTTAATCCAAACATAGTGTATACATAGAAATATAGAAAACAATACATATAAGCGAGAGAGGGGCTCAGAGTTTCATCCTTTATAACATACTTCAAACTGAAAAAAATCGGTGAGGTGTACCCTCTTCTATATATTTACCGAGGTTTCAACTGTTTTGCAATTCGCTACACATCATAACTATCGTACCACCAGATAAGAAGTCCACGGACAATAGGATCGCTCGTTATCGCGCGGCAGGAAAGTCTCAGTTACATAAACACATTTATCCACATGGGCCGGGATGATCACGAACGAGTCACCCCGTTGGACTGTGCGGCTGGTTCTTCGCTCCATCAGCCTGTCAGGCGTTCATTACGTCATTCAAGATATGATCGATGAGTACACGTGGCAGCGGCGGATGTGAGCCTGGATGCGACTTCCTGTGACTGATGAGGCCCGGCTTCTGCGTAAAGGCTTTGCCGCAGATGTCACAGACGTACGGCCTGATGCCGGTGTGGATGAGTAGGTGCTGCTTGAGCGCGGTTCTGCGCGCAAACGACTTGCTGCAAACGGTGCAGTTGTATGGTTTGTCGCCGGTGTGGATCCTCATGTGTACCTTGAGCCTACTGTTCCGCGAGAAGGTCTTGCCGCATTCTTCGCATACCACGTTTTCCCGGCGCTCGTGCTGCCTGAGCATGTGCTCGTTGAGGTTCTCTTGGCTGACCATCCGCCTTTTGCACACTTGACACTCATACTTCGCCTTGTAATGCGCGAACTTCTGGTGCACGTACAAGGAGTTACTGTTGAGGCATGTTTTGCCGCAGACGTCGCAGATGACCGGTTGTTCCCGATGGCTAAAGCGAATGTGGTTGGTGAGGTCGCCCTTGACTTTGAACTTCTTGCCGCAGGTTTCACAGGAGAACTTGAAGTCGTCCGAGTGTTTACGCGCCACGTGCACCTTCAGCTCGTATTTGTTCTTGTTCTTGTAGTCGCACTGGCTGCAGTAGAACAGCTCGGGCTGCTGCTGCGCGTCGCTGCCGACGCCACCGCTGCATGAGCCGCGTGGCTCTTTATGCTTGCGCTTGATGTGAGAGTACAACGAGGACTTTTTGATGGTCTTGAAGTTGCACTCGTTGCACGCGAACACCTCGTTCTCGATCTTGTGCCGGCGTTTGTGCGAGTACAGTGTGCTCTTCTTCGAACACGTGAAGTCGCAGAGGTCGCAGTGCACTTCAACACTCTTCTTCGCCGCCGTGCCGGTGGACGCTTCGCCGCAATCTTCTGCGCCGCCTTCCTCTTTGATCATCGCTTCGGAATCTTCCTGCGAGCTCGTCAACGTGGCCACCTTTTCGGTCACCTTGCAGCTCTGGGAGCTAACAACTTGTGCACCAGACTTCTTCAGTGACAGGTGATTGCACCTGGTCGTTCTCCTTCTCGTGCTTTTACTCGTGCTCGGGTCATTCTTAGATTGTTTGTGACTGCGGGCCAAGTGAGACGCCAGAGTGGTGCTTCTCTTGCACTCAAAATTGCACAGGTTGCAGCCAAATTTCGTCGTGTTCTCGCTCCGATGCTTCAGCATATGTTTGTTGAGATTTTCTTGATTCGAGCATTCATAGCTGCAAATCGCACAGACGAGCTGCTGTTGCTTTGTCGTCTTCGCATCTGCCGTCGCCTCATGTTTTTTCTTCATGTGCGCCACCAAAGTCGTCGATCGGTTGCAGCTGAAGTCGCAATCCGTGCACATGTACTTCGCACGCTCCGAACGTTTGCGCACCACCTTCGAAGGTCCATTTGGTCTACGAGGTTGTAGTTGGGAGTTGTGCTTTAACTTCGAGCATTTGCCGCGAAACCACAGTTGCAAGCTGTGCGTAATCTTGTGACGCTTCAGCATAGAGCGCATGGGAAACTTTATGGCGCACTTGTTGCAAGCGTAACCGTCGACAACCACCTTGTGCGAATGCATCAACGTACCCATGCTACGGTTGACGTTGCAGTTGTCGCTCTTCTGAGCGTCCGAGGAGTTCTCTGACTCTTCGATCTTAATGCAGGTCAAAGCTGGTGCGCCAAGTACGCTGATATCTTGATCGGCTTTAACGACGTTGTCTAACGCCGGTATTAACGAGTAGTGTAGTTCACCGCAAGCGTCAGCGTGCTGCCATAGTCGCATCGGTATTGAGTCTTTCCCGACGATAAAGCAACCGGAAGCATCCGTCTGCAGAACCTTCTTGCTGCAATTTTGTGTTCTAAAACATAAATCAGAATATGTCGGTTAGTCGTGACGACGTCTCGGAGGCGTTTGGACGTTCCAAACACTACTTACTCGGGATTTAAAGGTCGTTTCTACGAGAAAATTTGGCTACAATTATGTCTCGAGGAGCTATCGCGATCTGAAGATCACGAGTCTATTAGTATCCCTCTGACGTAAGTCAGGGTTGTTTACTGAGAATGCGTCCTGCGAGTTTAGAGCTTTATTCAGCACAGTGTGATATCAGGATTGGCGCAAGCGATCCGAATACATACTTACGCTACGTCAGGAAAATTGTGGTGCTTAGTGTAAATGTAAAAGATCCCAGCGTCAATTAGAAATAACTTAATATACGTACATCGCTTTACAAGTTTAAAATCGCTTAATCGTAAATATACATTTACATAATTCAAGTTTTAATTTAATTTTTATTCTATTTCTTGTCGTTTCGCTCGCCATTTATTTCCGCGCGATATCGAGACTGGTGTACATTCGTCGATTATAAATTAAACCCATCGGAAAATTTAAAATCACAATGATATGATTTTGAATTTCCAAGAATCTCCTCAAGGTGAATGTCTTGCCATAATTCTTGCAATCGTAGATCCGTCTTGCTGTCACACGAGATTCTACTGCGTCAGAAGTCTTTCGTTGAAACGGGACTTGCACTCATTTAGATTCGTTACTTTTCTGTATCCGTACACGTGTCCCATAAGGTCGTATACACCGGAATGGAACCTGGAATCCTATTCCACCTTAAGTCTTCGACTTCTGATCTGCATCTGATATAATGTAACTTCGAGCGGCTCTTTGCTATGATGGTCGCACTTGTTGCAACAACGAATTAGAATCCACATCTTTTATCTCCTCTCTTCGAAGTCTCTGTCTTTGTATCTGTAACATTTCTGCGTTCCAACTCTATCTTGACAATATTGACTCTTTCCCAAGAGTGATCTTACACGAAAGCGCACACGCATCTCTGATCGGGAACAGATCTCCTAAAACATGAATTATAGACGTCAATATATAAAAATTACCACATCATGGGTCATGTCCAGACAAATACATAGATACATGATTCTTCAATCGTGCAGTCGCTAAATGAGGAGACAGTAACAACACATTTTATTAACTCTCAGGAGAAAGAGGCGCTGAAAAATAAATACAGATTATTAAACAGCACATACAGAGGTAATTATTATGTTTTTATATCTCTCGTTCATTAATATATATTTCACATTCTTTTTACATTTAATGTCTCGCGTATGTATTTGTCGATACACAGCCACATTCGCTCCATACAGAGACAATCACAAGAAAATTAAAAATCATGCCACGCATGACAAATAATAAAGAATAAATTGTCATGTTTCATGACATAGAAGAAAGAAAAAAATCACTCTTACACACCAAGTGCGTTGCTCTCGTAAGAATCTTTCCATCAGGGTGTACTCGCTAGATTATTTGCACTTCCAATTTTGTAAACATAAAAGACAGGTATCTATTGTGTCTTTCCACTGTTGTGCGTAATAGACGCGATAATATTCTTGATCGACACGGGCGGCGGGGCGTCTGTGACGTCCGGATGTTTCTTCTTCCAATGAACGGACAAGGCGGGACGCTGCGTGAAGCTCTGGCCGCATATCGTGCAAATGTACGGACGCACCTCCGAGTGCGTGAGGAGGTGGACCTTGCGGCCGGTTGGGTTCGCGAAGCCCTTGCCACAGATATGGCAGAGGTACGGCTTCTCGCCCGAGTGCGTTTTGATGTGCTTCTTCAGGGAGGACTTGCGCGTCAGCTCCAGGCCGCACTCCTCGCACATGTACCTCTGCTCGTGCTGCTGCACGTGGCTGTCAAGGTTTTTCTGCGTCTGCAGCTTCTTCTTGCATACCGGGCACTGGAACTTCGCATCCTTCACCCGGTGCTTGTAGTTCTTGTGGAAGTAGAGGGACATCTTGTTGGCCAACGCGCTGCCGCACACGTCGCAGATGCACGGGTCGCCCTCGTGCGTGATCAGGTGCTTGGTGTAGTCAGCCTTGATGCGGAATTTCCGGTCGCATTTGTCGCACGAGAAATGGAAGTCATCGGTGTGCTTGCGAGTGAAGTGCACCTGCAAAGCATACTGGTGCGTTATCACTTCGCCGGTAATCACGACTCATATATTAAAGATGTCATGTAAATAGTCGAAATTATTCTCTTTATCGCGCTGTTGACTTACAATGTATCGCGGGACACTATATAATATAGCGGTGAACTGTAACATATGTCCTCGAGCTAGTCGGGAGGCACTGAATAATTCGATGTGTAAGCAACACGGTACAGTGTAGATTAATTGCTGTAGTCAACGAATTCCGAGCCGTGTGGCCCACATATGCTGAACTTTTCATTTAGATTATTCGATATTTGGACTCCAAAATGGAACATGAGACATACTTATGATCATTATAAGACACACGTTATTAGAAAATAAATTTTGGAAAAAATTAAACACATGATACGCAATAAAAGATATAATTATAGAGCCTCAGAAAAATAAAATCTAGCTCTTGGTACGACTACGAGGACAACCGGTGGTCCAAGCACGAAATTATTCATATAAAACCTTACATGGTACACTTGTAATATTAAAATTCCGGCAGGAAACATGTTGACAGCGGAATTTTACACTCAAACGCTCACCTGTAGGTAAGAGCAGTGTATTGTGGAGAAATCGCAATACTGGCAGCTGTACAACGGCGCTTCTCCGTGGACCTTCATCTTGTGCCTATTCATGTTGATCTTGTGTTTGAACTTCTTCTTGCAAATATCGCATTGAAAGGGATAATGGCTACTGTGCTTCAGCATGTGCTTCCTATACTTCGTTCCCCGCGTGCCGAAGGTAATCTTGCAAATGTCGCAGAATATCTTCTCCTTCTTCTTCACCTGCGAAGCTGCGCGAGAGGTGACGACGACTCTCGCGCTATTCCGTCGCGATGTAGCAGCCGCGGAAAAGTTAACTTTCCTCGTGGATGATGATTCTTCAACATGTTCAACTTGTTCCACCTCCGACGAAGTTACATCGTTCCACGTCAAAGCGTTGCAAAGAATTTCCTTCATTATAGTGTCATTGTCTGTCGATGACCACCTAAACAATCGAAACGTCATTATCTAGTCACATCAATTCATATTGTTAAGGACAAATATACATATACATACATATATATATCTCGTTATGAATATTTGGTATTAAAAATGCACGGAAACTTACGTAAGTTTAACATTCATCTGTCGCTTTACACCTCGTTCTATGCATCGGCACTTTTTTAATATATCGCGTGTTAGATTGTTTACTTGCACTTCCTTTGTAAATATATGAAAATATTCCGTAGTATGAAAATATATCGTTAGAAAAATAATGTTAGCACATTTTTATATATCGGAAATTTCGCTTTAATATATCTTAAGTATATTAATCATCACTAATTTGAGCTTTAAAATGTATCAAATACATTTGTATCAAAACGTGTTAAATTTCAACCTGTAAAAAACAACAATATTAAAACATAACGTTAAGGCCTGGTCTACAATATGTGTTGTAAGCTGTAAGCCGTCAAAACTGTCCAATTATAGCCGATTATTTTTGTAATAATCGACTGTGATTCGCCAATTCTTACGGCTTACAAGTTACGACACGTATTGTAGACCAGGCCTTAAGAGCAATACATTTCCCTGCGGGTCTAAGCTGTCACAAATTGAGTTTTTAATTTCAATTCAAATGTCACGTTCTAAGCGTGAGAGATGTGAGTAACTTTGTTTTACCAAAAACATATGTCTTTATTTAGTATATTACATCAAGTTACGCTGTATACTGCATCATTCCATGAAACAAATAGAAGGCAACTAATATCAAGACAGGCGAGATTCTCAAGGTACATTCATACCTCCGTGACTGTCGCTCTAAGGAAGATCAAATGGAAAATAATATCGACAATTTGCCCGAAATTTTAGCCAAATGCAAATCTTTCAGAAACGATTACGTACTTTACATTCAACCTTGTTGCACAAATGACATTGGAAGACTCAGACACAGAAGCGAGACACAATAAAATGACGAACGAATCAAGCTGAATATATTCGTCAATGATAAAAGTATGCTACATGAAATATCGGATAATGTCTCTAGTAATATTGGATCATCTCACCTGCGGCTTATTTACATCGTCAATAAATGGAGATGGAATTGAGAGCTGAGTCCCACCTCTATTTGCGCTCATATCAATATAACTCACATGAGCCTAAGCCGATGCAATAATTATCGTTTCGTGATCTTACACAAACACAAGAGCGTGTACTTTTAAAAATAAAATCCTCTGACTTCGAAATTTACACGACTCAGGCTGGTATCGCGAGTCCTTACTTTATCAGCTATCTCAGAGATCGCCTAGACCTCGTTACCTCGCAGGATCACCATCATAGACGATATTTACAATGCATGTCGCTGGTCATCAACTTCACGTGTCGTCCAATTACTTTAGAAAGATACAAAAGTCGTCCAGGATCTTTTCTTTTCTTCCGGTGTGTCTCGCTGCTCCAGCATGGTTCATCTTATTGCACATATACACGCACGCACACATGTATATATATGCACAATTTACTTGACACTCTTGTTCACAATGATTTTGTCTTGCACACCGTGCAGGAGATTCGTGATCTTGATGGGGGGCGGCGGCGGGTGCACACCCGGATGCTTCTTCCGGTGCAACATCATCGGTGAGCGTTGGGTGAAGCTCTGGCCGCAGATGTCACAGACGTAGGGCCGCTCACCAACGTGGGTCAACAGATGGATTTTCTGCGAGCTCAGGCAACCGAAGGTCTTGCCGCAGACTGCGCAAAGATAGGATTTCTCGCCCGAGTGCGTTCTCAGGTGCTTAGTTAGGCCGTACTTGAACTTAAACTCCATGCCGCACTGCTCGCACACGTATTTCATCTTGTGCAACTCGGCGTGGCTGTCAAGGTTCTTTTGGGTCTTGAAGCGCTTCCGGCAGATCTGGCACTCGAACTCCTTCACCTTGGTCTTGTGTTTGTAGTGCTTATGGAAGTATAGCGAGCTCTTGCTCGGGTAAGACGTGCCGCATATATCGCACACGCATGATTCCGTGTCGTGGTCTTTGATGTGCGTAGTGTAGTCGGACTGTACCTTGAACATCTTGCCACACTGCTCGCAGCGGAAGTTGTAGTCCTCCGTGTGCTTGCGGATGTAGTGTATCTTCAAGTACGGCTTGGTGCGCGCCTTGAAGTCGCAAAGGGTGCACGCGTGCAACTGCGCCGGTTCATCGTGGATTTCCATGTGCCTGGAGAGATACGCACCGGTCTTGAAGCCCTTGAAACAGATCGCGCACTTGTGCGGCCGCGAGTTGCTGTGCTTGAACATGTGACTAGTGAGCTTGCTCTTGCGGTCGAAGTTGATGTAGCAGATCTGGCAGATATGCGACTTCTTCTTCAGGCCACCCGCGTGCTTGCCCGAACGCGTCCTCGCAAGCTCATCCTCGTGTCGTTTCCTGAAGTCCAGCGGTGCATCGTCTAGGTCGTCGAAGTAGTCACTCACAGGCTTGCTCCGTTTTCTAGCCTCGCGCTCGAGGACGCGCCGATTCCCCTTCTGTTTCTTATCGACCTCTCTCGTCGACTTGGTCTTATCGGGGTTATCTTTCTGCGCGCCAGACGATGCTTCTTTCTTCATGAACATGCTCAACGCATTTGGGATGCGATAATAATCATCTTCCAATTTTACTATCAGAAGACTCGTCGACAGTGGGTCTAGTTGGTTGCACCTAGAAAAATTATACAAATTGTCAGTCGGTTTCGTATGACAATGCGGCGCAGAGATATATAGCGGTCGTGCTGGTCGCACGTAAGCATGCATCGATGCGACGTCGACTAAGAGGCTCGATAAACAAGAAGCAAAGCTGAACCCCGCGGGAATAACTCTTCTCCGCTGTTTGACAAACATATCTCCTTAAATAAACGGCCGTCATTGAGATTATGATTTTGTTCTTCAAGCGAAATTCAATAAGTTTTCTTTTCCCTCAACAGGGAATGTGCGCGTCACTTGGTTATAAAAATTATTCTTTACAACATAGAAGAAGGCATCTCAGAGAAGCTCTCTTTTGCACTTCACAGAGATAATAAGATTTGAAAGTAAAATTATATTTCTAATTTGCAACTGGAGTATAAAACGTCGTATGAAATCTTTATTTACTTTTGCGACGAAAGCAACAGTCGAGTATATCACTACTGAGTACACGTTCACTCGTGTGTGATAACTTATTACATTATTTGAACATCATTATCATGAGGCAAAGAACATTTTTATGGCGAAAATGTTTCATGACGCTTCTCGTCGTATTTTTCCGATCATATTCACGCAGTGATCTGCACAAATATAATATCGTAATTTATAATCTGACTTGATAAGACAGAACTTTCCGGATCAATTTAACACATTAAACATATTATTAACTTGCCGTACGTACTGTAACATCAACACGAGACGTATTATCCGCGTCTCTGTATACCACCGTCTAACAACGACACAGTACGACGGGACTGAAAGTCATCAGACGAGGGAAAGATCGTTCACGCTGTCATTCTGAGTTACGAAAGATTCTGCAAAACGTTCTGCACAAGCTGTCTTATCGAGACGGACGCCAACGGTGGCAGGGGCCCGGGGTGGCCCTTTCGATGTCTCATGAGACTAGATCGCTGCGTGAAATCTGCGTCGCAAATGTCGCACTTGTAAGGACGCAGCCCGGCGTGGCTTAATATGTGCGTGCGCAAGGTCATTTTGGCAAACGTCTTGTCGCAGATCTTGCACTTTTCCATATTGTTACGATGCAGTCGCTTGTGACGCGACATCTCCATAAATCCTTTACACTGTTCACCACAATTTTGGCACTCGAAGACTTCCTTGTGCATCAACAGATGATTGTCCAGCTTGGACTGACTCGTGAGCTGCTTACGACAGAGGTGACAGGCGAACTTGTTCGGATCGTGCTTCTGCAGATGCTTTCTCATATGGCACTTGAGGTACTTCACCACTCGGCCGCAGACGTCACAGATATCCCGGTTGGTCGAGTGCGCGTTACTGATGTGCATGAGGATGTCGGACTTGAGTCTGGTCTGTTTGCCGCAGTAATCACAGATGTACTTCTTCTCCGCTGTACTATGCGAGCGGATCTGATGCCGTTGCAGACCCAAACGCCTTCGGAATTTTAATCCGCAGGTGACACACTCATGGACCTCGGTGTGCGTCTTTTTGTGCACCTTCAAATGGTACGGCGTTTTGTACGACTTGGAGCAGAGATTGCACTTGTAAGGACGCTTATGGACTTTCTCTACGTGCTTCTCCAAAAACGCGTTATTCGAGAAGCGCTTGTCGCAAGTTGGACACACTCCGTGCAAATTATCTAATATCCGATCAACATCATCAACTTGCTCACTGTTCTCCTCCTTCGGTTCTTCCAGTTCTTTGCTTGATTCTTGTTCCCTGATAGAATGTTCTGTAAGAAAAGGACCGCTTGACAGATTCGACCGGACTCTTGGCGTACGTAGATTTTTGCAACGCTCGCATGAGCTGTCGGGAATTATTTTTATCATTATTTATATTGTTTCTTTAATTACCTAAAAGCAAAACCGGTTTGGTCCTCTCCGCGATCCTCGAGCCTTTTCGAATGGCATATATTTGTACATCCACTTTTCGATAATTATAATCATCCTGCATACTGGCCGAATACTCTCTGAAACATCCATAAATTTAGTAAGTGATAGAAAAAATAATATCGACAAAGCACCTTACGTATGTAAATCTTACGGATATTGCAATCATTATTTGAAAATATAAGGTATGTAAATATCTCCTTTTGTACTTCCGTTTGAAACATGTCTCAATTAAGTTTTTCTCCGAAAGTTCCTTTAAAAAAATAAACACAAATCAATTCGAAATTTAACACTAAAGTGTCATGAAAATATTTTTCGGTAAATTAGGAGTCCATTATATAAATAAAGGTTTATCTATATGGTTAGATTCTGCTCTCAAAAATATTACAGAATAATTAAAAATTAAAAACATTCTCGAAATTATTATGTTGCAAACTCCAATGCTTAGTAAATCCAATTATGAAATATTGAATTCTTCTTTATACAAAATAACATTTTTATTTAATACTTCCACGGTTAAAGCGCTACATAATGATCAATATTATTAAATTATTATTAATTTGCTATAATATTATTAACTACAATATATATTTACTACAATATTATTAATTTACTAACATATAAAATATTTACTTGCTAATCATGCAATATGAAGCAACACGTTCTTTCGAATATATCGAATGAATATGCAGAAGTGTATCCACAATCATTCGATAAGACCAAATACGAGTGATAATTTTATTAACATGCAATTTTATTTAAATATACTTATACTTGTTGAGTCGTTGTGTATTCTGTTTCCACGTTTCTCATAAGATCTTATCACTTAGTAACGAAATTCACTCAAAACAGATTCTCGGTGAATATTCTGATATTTCATTATTATTTTATATATACCACATACACATACACGTATGCACGTATATCTACATAGTGATATGCATCGACGTAAATTGATACAGAACGTTGCCAAAAATAAATTGATATTTGAAGATAAAATAATAAAGTCCACTTGACAATCTACTGTGAAGTGATTCATGTTAGTCAAATACATGACAATAATTTTTTCCTCACATGTACGATGCAGTCTTAATAAAGATCATTAAAAATTTATCTGTAAAATAATAAAGACAATACAAGATCAATATCCTCGAGATCATAAAGCGTATGAACCTGTTCTCTGAAAAAAAAAAGAACAATCAACATAGCGGATAATAATAATAATAATAATGTATTTTCTAAAAAAAATCTATACGAATGTGTTCCATACTTGTTAGTAGCAATATATACCAAGTACTTCGCACTGAGGAAAGAGGAGAGTCAAAAATTCGGCTTTGCCGAAAAACACACCGTTCCACGCGTGTTCACTTGTGCAACAAGACGTCACTTTGGCAAGGTACTGTCCAAAATGAATCTGCGCACGCAAGTATCAAGTTCTACAGACTCATGCTGACGATCGTGCGTCCACCACCAGACTCTTGTCGCTATCGCTTTGCACCTTTTGCAGGTAACTCCTGGCCAGTTCAGCTATCTGCGGATGCGTCAACTGCATCGGCGGCAACGGTCCCGGGTGGTGTTTCCTGTGCCGCAATAGGCTGGAGCGTTGCGTGAAGTCCTCTTCGCAGATATCACACTTGTATGGTCGTATGCCAGCGTGCGTGAGCACGTGCTGATAGAAATTGCTGACGGACGTGAAAGTTTTCTTGCAGAGGATGCAGGTGGAGATGTTAGCGTGTCCGTGCTTGAAACGCTTGTGACTCAGAAGCTGGCGCGTGCCGATGAACTCCTTGTCGCACTGCTCGCATTTATAGCCCTTTTCGTGTAGCTTCAGGTGGCTGTCCAACCTGTTCTTGTGGAGGAATTTTTTACGGCACAAGTGGCACGAGTAGTCATACTTGATCTCACGGGTGCGTCTCTGATGCCGCCACTCGTGGCCCTTCACGTCCTTGACCGCCTTGCCGCAGAAGCGGCAGATCTGGAGCAGTGACGAGTGCGTTCGCTTCATATGATGCGTGAGGTCGATCTGCAGCTTGTAACTACGGCCGCAGTGTTCGCAGATGTATCGCGACTCGTGGTCGCTGTGGTTGCGTATATAATGCCTCTTCAGGCCGTACATACTCTTGTACTTCACATGACAAATGTCGCACTCGAAGAAATAGTCCGACCGGTGTATTCTCTTATGCTCGTTCAACGCTCTCTGCGTGTAGCACGACCTCTTGCACTTGTCGCATTTGTAAGGCTTACGGTGCACGTATTTGACGTGATTCTCGACTTTCTTTGCGCTATCGAAGCGCTTGTCACAGAACGGACATATGTTTCGTATCCTGTCCAGAGCTTCGTCCACTATGGTATGCTCTTTCCGACTTGGCGGATCCGACTCTTGCTGTGCCGTTGCTGTGCTCGTGTCTACAACGACGGGTGAACTAAGCTGCTCGTATTCCACCGATTCTTCTAACTTCTGCGAGTCTTCTGCGAGTGGATCTGTGATAACTGTTTCCTCCGCGTTTTCACACTGAATTCTGATGGAACTGATGGAACTGATGGAACTGATCTCTGCGATTTTTTTGTTTGCGGGATCATTCCCAAGAATAGATTTCCACGAGTCCAATATTAGTAAATGAACTCTTTTACGCCTTCCTCTCTGCCAGATGATAGGCTTTTTTCTGCAACAGGGATAAGTCGTGTCAGCATAAAATACAGACTTTCATGAGTAAGTTGCAAAAATAGAGGGCCTATGAGAATCAACGCGAGGTTGGAGAGCATGCAGAAATAGTTATTTCAACTATTTCTCAAGTATGAAACAACGATCAAGCGGAGGTAGTTGTTACATGAAAAAAAAAAAAATCATTTTCCGATCCTATACATAATTATAGAAGACAGTCGTACATGTACCCTACAAGATTATCGATATTACCGTTATCGCATTGCGGTGTCACACAGTCGCGTTATCACTATCGCTTTTATTAACTATTAGAAAAATTGTATAAATTCGAAGAAAATTATGTATATCAACACGTTAATTGACGTTGGACAATTTCACTCCCTCTCATCACTGATCAGACACATTCGCACAAACATATACACACGCACACACGTATCCCGAGATAAGTATTTATTGTTATTCGATTGACGCGAGGTTTCTGTATTGAGGTGAATAATAACATTTATTATAACGTAAACTTACTCTAACGTGGAAGATGAATAAAACTGGTCTCTTTCAACAATTGCAATAACTGTTGCGCAACAAATAGATAACATTACGTATAATCTTTATAAAGTTAGAATTACTAGAGGACTAACACATTCTTCGTACTAATTTACTGTGAGAGAACTTCGCAACAACGCCTCTTTGTTTGTTACGTACGTTTTGCTCAGTCACAGGATCAAACAGCAAGGTTCCTTCCAAAGATACAATTCGATATTGCTGGACTATCACACAATCACCACTAGCGAATATAATTATTCCCGTTACGCGCTATGAAACAAATCGGTCTTCTGCATGCAGACACACAGCAGTATGTATCTGTCTTTGAAACGCACAAAATACCAGAAACCGATCGGCATCGGGAATATTTATAATTGACTCTGACTTGTGGAAAGGAAAACGAAAAAAAAAAATAAGAGACATATTGTCTCGCAAACGCGAATTAATTAACGTAAAAGTAAATCAATGTTCTCTTAGCACCCAGGTTGGAACTGTCACTCAGATTACCGGCGAAAGGATGTGTTTCGCGAGCGAACGTTTCCGGAAATATTGTTTCATACTTTACGTCTTCGAATCTCCGACTGCGGGAACACGTTTCGTGTCTTTCAGCTGCCGCTGTCGTTGGCGCGTAAGACCTCGGCTTGAAAGTTGCTGCAAAATATTCTTAGCTAAAACGGCAATAGGCACCTGAGACTTATACACCGGAAGCGGGCCTGGATGGTTTCTTCGATGACGGAAGAGACTCGAGCGCTGAGTGAAGTCCTCGTTGCAGATGTCGCATTTGTACGGTCTGGTGCCGGCATGCGTGAGCACATGTTGGTGGAAGTTTTTGGACATGAACACTTTCTTGCAGATCGGGCAGGTCATTCCTGGTTTATGCTTGCGGTTCTTGTGGTACTGCAACTTACTGGACGAGCTCGCGACCACGTCGCACTCGTCGCATTTATAGCCCTTCTTGTGCAGCAACAAGTGATTGTCGAGACGAGTCTGGTTCTGGAACTTCTTCACGCACAAATGGCACGACAACTGGCCGGTCTTCTCGCCGGCTCGTTTCCTGTGCTTCGACTCATGGCTACATACATCCGTCACGGACTTGCCGCAGTAACGGCATATGTGGATATCGTAGTTATGTCTCCTCTTGATGTGCAGCAGTAGGTCAATTCTCACCTTGAACCCCTGGCCGCAATAGTCGCATATGAACTGGGCGGTCGCGTCGCTGTGTGCGCGCACTTGATGATGCTGCAGCGTGATCTTCCGCTTGTACTTCAAGTGACACACGTCGCACTTGAAGAAGTAGTCGTCACTGTGACTCTTACGGTGCTCCTCCAGGTTCCGCTCGGTGTAGTAAGTCGCGCGGCATTGGTCGCACTTGTACGTCCCTCGCTTGTGGATCGCCGTGATATGTTTCTTGAGACGTTCCAGCCGATCGAAGTGTTTCGAGCAGAACGGACATGTGGTCTGCATCTCAGTGAATGATCGGTCTTCGTCGGTCGATGAGTTCTCAGACGATGACGCTTTTACTGTAGACTTCGTTTCCTCTTCTTCACTCGATGAATCCTCACTTACTTTCTTCTCCTCTTTCTCCTCTTCCTTCTCCTTCTTCTCCTCTTCTTCCTCTTTCTCTTTCTCTTCCTTTTCTATACAAAGCTTCCGTCTTGTGTCCTTTTCCTGTTTCGTTTGTTTGCTCCAACTTACTGGATCATTGTCTCTCCTCTCTCGGTTGATCTCTTGGAAAGTTGACTCTGCGATGATGATGGAATCGTGCGTCACTTCCAGGTATTTTTTACATTTTATACTCCACCAGCCTCGCATCCTGAAACATTCATTAATTGAAATCAGTATAGACAAGCAGAATGACGGTCGCGGTAATCTCTTTCAGAGTTTAGGATTCTCGGTATCTATGAAGAACACTAATGAAAAATCACTCACTCGATCAATCGTTTTTTCTTTCTGCACATTGTAGTTGTATTTAACAAAATGTTACAAGCATTTTTTTTAAGAAGTCAAACAGCAAGACAACCCTCCATCATTCGCACAGACACGCGCATGTTGTAAACACTGACATATTTTTAATACTAATTGCCACATCAAGAGACACTTGTTCAAGATGGAACAATTCCGTCGCAGCCTCCATCGTGTTGTTTCCCATAGTCACCCGGAATTCAGTTTGCCGGCTTCGTCGTGGCGGCGAATTTTAGCTGGCTGAGCAGCAACGGTGACGGCGGCGGGTTACTGCCCGGATGTTTGCGACGATGCGCCATCATGCCGTTGCGTTGCGTGAAGTTCTGGCCACAAATGTCGCAGATGTACGGTTTCTCACCCGTGTGAGTGATTTTGTGCATCCGGAGAGCCGCTGGACTCGCGAAGGCCTTGGCGCACAGCTTGCACTGATAGGGCCGTTCACCGGTGTGTTTGCGATTGTGCAATTTTGAACGTGTTGCTCGTCTTGAATTCTTTGCTGCATTGAAGGTCTGCGAATGTTGGCTCACGTGATTCCGCAGATTGCGCCCCATGGCAAAACTCATGCTGCAGTAGTCACAGCGGTACTGCTTCAGCGTGATCCACTGCTTCACGTCGTGCATCCTACGCTTGTGCGCGACCAAGTACGATCTCTGCGAGTAAGCCTTGCTGCAGTACTCGCAGACGAAAGTCTTGGCGCCCAGATGGTTCGTCCGGTGATCCTTCAGGTCGTAGTTCGACATGAAGTCCTTGTCGCACTGCTCGCAATGGTAGCGAAGGTCCTGCTGGTGCACCCGTCGATAGTGCATTTTCAACGACACTCGATTCTTCGTGGTAAAACTGCACGTCTCGCATACGTACTTCACGCCGTTGTGGAGTTGCATATGAATGGTCACCTCTGACGATCGTTTGAAGCTCTTCTTGCAGACCATGCATTTGTACGGACGTTCGTCGCTATGCTTCACCATGTGCCGCTCGAACTCGCCTTGCCGTGCGAAGAACATCTGGCACATGGAGCACTCGTACTTTATCCATTCTTGCTTCTTCTTATACGGTCTCTTCGTCACATTGACCGACGTGCTCCCAACACTTGTATGACGAGAATTTCGTACTACCAGACGCGACGGATCGGAGGACTTTTCCAACATCGCTTCTTGCTCCTTTTGTTCTCCGACTATGCTCAGAGGGTCCTCCTCCACTATCACGTTGGAATCTACCGCCAATTGTGCGCAATCTTGTTTCGTGTATGTCTCCTCTTCGTGTCCAGCCACGATAGCTCGCTCCATCAATACTTGGACCTCGATGATTCTGTAAGCAGTAACATACATGAGCTTTCAACATGCTATACACTACATCAGTTACATCGACAAGTCGTTGATCGACACCTCCTTTGATGACTGGTTCTGATGACTCTCTTTTCTCGGGAATATAAGTGGTTCATGAAGGGCTAGTCTGACTCGTGGTCGTAGCGGGTGTCGAGGGCAAAGGTGAGGCTTGTTCGCTTCAATAATTCATACTGAGAAATCGGTTTAATCGACAATGTGATGAAATAGACTCCGCCAGTCATACACTCTTTTAATGTACGAATGATTTTATTAAACGTATAATAACGAATATCGTTAATGATAATTAACATAAGCTTGTCAATGCGCTTATTTATCATTCGAACGAGATAGCCTGGAGGGTTGCGTGTGGTCCTTCGTCCGTAGGAAAAAAAAGGGGGAAAAAAAAGAAACAAGGAGGAAAAAAGTACAAGGTAAGAGGTAAGAAGAAACAGAAGAAAAGGAGAAACGGAACATCGTTCAACAATATTGGCATCGTTCGGCTTACAAAAGTCGTCCTTATCTACACTGAAAAAATAGAACAACAATATTCATAACGGAACTCTTTAAGATAATAGTGGTAAAAATTTGCAATTCATGACGAAATGAACAGACAAATCGTACGCACGATCTTTTCGTTCTACATATGCAGCGAACACGCTGCATATCGCTTTTTTTGTTCTTTTTTCTTCCCTTTTCAACGCGAGCGTTATAACCAGTGTACAAAAGATATTCGTAGAGATTTATCGAGAAGTGTCGGACGTCGACGCGATTGATGAATGTTTTACCGCTAGAACCGCTAGAACGAATATCGCGAATCACGGCACCTCGTTAATGTCGCTTCTTGTATGTACGTGTGTGTATGCGTGTATATAATCTATATATTCATATAGATTACATATAATAATAATCTATAATAATTCAAGTTCATCGCTGAGTTCTTCGCTGTCTCACGAGTAGCTTGCCGTTACTTTCTCGAGCAGTAACGAGCCAGTCACACTAAGAACTTGGTCATCATAACTTAATCGGCGCGCGAGAGTCAACGTAGGGTATACTCATGTGGCACACACATTCGCTCGCTCTCCTCTACTCTCCCTCCCCGGCTGCCTTCGAAGCACTTTCGTCGGTCAACAATAAATTTCAATGTTCACGCGCCTCGTCAGCACGATGGGCATATTTCGTCGCCCGTTGTCAAAGGGTCTTTACATGCACGTAGTCTTCTGGTGGGCCGTCAGGTTACCTTGGCAGGAGAAACCACGATGGCAGATCTGGCAGACGTAGGGCCGCTCGCCGGTATGGCCGCGTCTATGGATGGTCAAGGTCGACCTCTGCGAGAACGCCTTCGGACACTGGTCGCACTTGTACGGTTTCTCGCCCGTGTGCACTCGCCTGTGCATTCGCAAGTTCTCCGAGTCGGTAAAACCCTTGCCGCATATGTCGCAAACGTATGGCTTTTCGCCAGTGTGGATTCGTCTGTGCTTCTTCAGGTGCTCAGCGCTACTGAGACTCTTGCCACAGTAATCGCAGAGATAGAGCTTGGTAGGGTTGTGGCTCTCCTTATGGCGGAAAAGAGATCTCTTAGTAGCAAGTACACGGCCACAAATGTCGCAGGCAGTGCTGGTCACCTTGTTGGCCTTGAGCTCCGGATGCATGCGCCTGCAGTGGGCCGAGAGCTGCCTGCGTAGGTAGAAAGCGTTGTTGCAGAGCTGACAGACGAACGGCTTCTCGCCCGAGTGTATGTTGTAATGTTCTTGCAGGTCGAGCTTCTTGCGGAAGCGCTTGTCACACTCGTTGCATTTGAATGGTAGGTCCGCCTTGTCCGCGTGCCGCAGCATGTGAATGCTCAGGGCTGCCACGACGGTGGTCTCGTAGTCGCACTCTTTGCACATGTAGCTCGGGTAGAAGTGCGTTTTCTCGTGCCTGGTGAGGTCGCGAAACAGACGGAATTTCTTCGGGCAGTGTTTGCAAGTGAGGTCGCCCACAGTGTGACGTAACAAGTGCTTCTGATAATTGCTCTTGTGCCGGAACACCTTGTTGCAGGTCTTACACAGAAACTCCAGCTCGGGCTTCTCGTTCTTCACTTTCTTCAGAGCGGATCGGCCTTTGCCGCCCTTGCGGCTGCCTTTGCGTACCGAATGCTTCTTCATGTGCTGACGCAGGCTGACGCCAGTCCTGAAGACCCGGCCACATTGTGCGCATGTGTTCTTTCGCTTATTTTTGTGCTCGATGTCATGATTGTCCAGCAAGGACTGCGAGGCGAAAAAAACGCCGCAGATTTTGCAGTGATACGCCAATGGCAGATCATCGTTGTCGATTATCTCCTCTTCGTTCATCTCCTGCTTTATGTTCTGATCGGTAATCGTGATCGACGTTGTTGTCATCGTTGTTGCTGTCGTCGTCGTCGTCGTCGTCGTCGTCATCGTTGTCGTTGGAGCCGTAGTCATCGACTCATCCGATTTCAGACACTTCAACGGCAAAATTCTCTCCGGTTCGTTGTTCTTCTTTACCAGATCGAGCTTAGCGAACATCGTCATCGGACAAAAGTCTTCGGGAAACGGTAGCGGGTTGTATCTGAAATAGAAAAATTCAGAGGGACATTAGTATCGAGCGTCCTCATCGCTATGTAGCAAAGATCTTTCTTTCATTCCGTCCGTCTAGGTCTCGTGGTTTAGCACATTATTCTACTCCTGCGAGCAAAGTCTTCAGCCGCGAATTTCTAGCGAGTCATTTCTATAGCATCAAATTCGAAAAGTTTAATCAAAATATCGCCATTTATATGGACTTTTTCGACTTTCAAAAGATCGCGCTGGCTGAAAAAACCGTGCGTATATACTTGAAAAATGTATATTTCATGTATATATATATATATATGTGTGTGTGTGTGTGTGTGTATATACTTAAGTGAAGAGAGCCACTTTGGATTAATGCTCTTTGGACTAACGCAAAACTGACGAACATGTGATGATAAAACAGCGGTGAGTGATTTCACGCCATTTCTCTCGTAGTAACACTTTTATTTATCACAATGATACATAATGGGGGAGCAAGTCTCTCAATGACATGAGAGAGTCAATTACCGAGCGCGTGATTCGGCGTACAAAATGAAAGACATTATGCGTATACTCCCGCCGATACTTGTGACAGAGCGTCAAAACGCGATCATAAACGCCGCGATTCTCAAAAGAGAGATCGATGAAGAACGGGTGAGTCCAACCGCGTAACAATACTATAAACAGTATCATTAAAGTACAAAGTGGCAGTATTCGACTATTTGGACGTGATATTCATCAAGTCCGAACTTACATCTCAGCTTATCTTCAATCAATCTGAAAGTGCTCAACATTAAGAGCGTTTAAAGATGAACTTGAAGTGATCTTGAATATAAAATCGGACTACGAATACCACGACCTTGGTCTCGATTCGCCTCACTTTTGACAACTATTCATCCAGTCTCGGGCGATATCTTGAAGACAAGAATGCGTTGCGCGCGCTAGAATGCGACGCGACGTCATGCGATGAAGGAATGTCCCCGGAGTAGTGGGACTACGTCGACTGCACGACCATCACACTGACTACGTGCACCTTATTGTGGGCATTGAGTAGTCCCCTAGATACGAAGGACTTGTTGCAGTAAGTACATTGGTACGGCCGCTGGCCCGTGTGGTAGCGTTTGTGTATAACGAGCGCCGAGTGCTGCGTGAAGGATTTGCCGCAAGTGTCGCAAGTATACGGCTTCTCGCCGGTGTGAGTCCTCTTGTGTACCACCAACGTGGTCTTCTTGCGGAAGGCCTTGCCGCACACATCGCAAACCAGCGACTTCTCGCCGCTATGGAGCCGCAGGTGGTCCTGCAACGAGCCCTTGGACGAGACAGACTTGCCGCACAGTTGGCAGTCATACTTATTCTCGCCGGTGTGCGATTTGACGTGCACCACCAGGGAATTCTTGTAGGCGAACATCTTGCCGCAGAACTCGCACTGGTGCTTCACCGGCTTGAAGTTTGGATCGTGGATCTTAAGATGGCGCGCCAGCGTGTGGTTGTTGGGGAACTGCTTGTCGCAAGCGGTGCACACGTGCTCCTTAGCGCCGTGCTTCACGTTCATATGACCGTGCAGCTCGGCGTTTGTGAAGAAGCCCTTGTTGCAGATCTCACAGTGCCGCGTGTATTTCTCGTAGTGGCGTCTGTGATGAGTGGCCAACTGCGAGGCTTGGACGAACGCGCGACCGCACACGTCGCAGACAAAGTTCCTCTCGTGGGTGTGGATCCTCCGGTGCACCGCCAAGGTATTGGTTCTCTTGAAGGACTTGTTGCAGACGTCGCACTGGTACGGACGCGCGTCGCTGTGCGCGACTAGATGGCCTTCGAAAAGATTCTTCGACCTGAAAAGCTTCATGCACACGTTGCACTTGTAAAGCTGCTTCCTCATGCTCAACGAGCAATTCTGCCGACTGATCTCCGCGTCCGTGAGATTATCCTGCTCCTCGAGTTCCTCCGACATCAGTGAGTCCTCCGCGTTCTCGGCGAGACACTGACGATGCGCTGTATTCGCAGCCTGGTGTTGCATGTGCCGGCATTCCTCATGCTTTACATTCTCCTCGCAAGAATCTACGTTTTCTTCCTTAACGGAAATCGAAACCAACGTGGTATCCATACATTCGCGTATAGAGGGCTTATTTGTTAGAGACGTCTCCGCTGGGTTTTCAATTCTGAAAAAAAACGAGACGATAACTATGCAAATAATATAACATCGACTGACATAGATTTATTCGTTCCTATCACGTATCCTATCACGTAACCTATCACGTTAAGACTTGGGAGATGATTTTATTTACAATTTTATTGGCATGTATTCGTACGTACATTCCTGTTTCTTTTTCTCTGTATAATGTACAAGTCATCAGAGGACTTTTATGTCTCTTTGTTTTTTAAAAAGGGAAACTTACTTGCCATTAATATCGTATTTCGTCTCTTCATACCTTTATTGCTTTCGGTTTTTGATCCTACATACGCGTATCTATACAATACAATTGTTACATACAATTGCGATGTAATTTATCTTTATAACGTCGTACGTTTTTAAATTATAATTGTTTTCTACGATGTAACGTGACAATCAATTTTTCCCTACACGTTCCATGTATTGGAATTGAAGAGAGATTTGTGCAATTATTTCTTTTTATTAACAGTATAAGATTCTCTCTTGGTAAGTTTTATAAATTTAACATGCACTCTTTTTCTCCTCTTTTTTTTCTTCGTAATATCCTTCATCCTAAAGAATCTGTAAATGAAATGAGCGTATATTGCAAAATAATAAAAATATCAAGCATTAAAGCCAATTTCGAAATATAAAATTATGCATACCTTTCGAGAACTTACGGTAAGCCTACTGTAATTTTTGCAATCCTGTTGAGAAATATCCATATCGAGACGGTTGTTCCATTGTTCGTTTGTCGCGCATTACGGATACAAGAGATCCTCACTCTATCGATATATTTAATACATATCATATAAAACAAGTTGATAGACATATGCGAAAATTATTTTTGTCCAATGGCAAATCTACGCAAGGCCATAGCTAACATCTGTTTATTTTGTAACGTGGAGTAAAAAGAATACAACGAAGAATATATAATGAAAAAAGAGCGATGAGAGCTATATATTTCTTTTCGTATGATATTTACAATATTACAGAAATTAAAGATAACATTTATTTGTTTTTATAACTTGATATATATTTATATACATACACGTGAAAGTCGTTCGAATGTAAACATGTCGAAACGAAAAATGTGATTTTTGATGAAATGCGCAGATGAGAATTTCTTCATGCAATTCCATTCCACTTTAATTACAACGATACTATTCAGTATAGTTTCTCATCACTTGAAATATTAAGGATCGCATTCAGACAATATACAAAGAGCGTATATTCTGTTAAATTAAATTTATGCTGCTTATGAACGTTGCTAACATAATGACGATTAGACACTACTGTTCACTAAATATTCTTCTAGAAATCTATCAAACGTTATTTTTATCTGAGATTCCTGTCAAGCGAAAGTTGACACGAAAAAGGTAGCATGCACATTCATCAAGATTGCCTCCATTGTCGCCAATCACGTTTGTTACGACAACCACGGTACAGCGGCGGCTTCTTATCGACTTTCTCGCACGATGAATTCATTTGATAACATTTTCACAATATACAGATTTCACCGGCCTACATCCTGGAATAAATAAATATACTTGCACTTGTTTCAGCGACTGACATAAATCCTCTGACATAAGCATAATCTCAGTTTGACTGTGCTTGCCGCATGGCCGACATACGTCCCACAGAGTAGACATGTCACGACAGTCTGTAAAATAAATCTGAATATTCACACGCGTAACATGTTTCGTTCTGCATCGCTTCATAGTCGCTCGTGCCACTCTCGTGGCACTCCGACACTCTGAGAGATGGCAATTCGTCGCATTTGTATTTCCATCTAGCGAATATGTCTCCAAAAATCGCACGGATGGATTTCGTTTGATAAATAATTACAATGGACAGTATACAATCCATTTGCAGTTGTTATCATAAAAATTGTAAAAATCACCTCTGATTAATACGTAGCGTTTGCACTCGTGGCTTCTTCGACAACGCAATCTCGTCGCCCAGACGACGTACATTTCCAGGGAGATACGAAAGAAATATTCTCGACATGACGTGAATCAGCTTCATTTGCTCTCGTTGTGCGACTTCATGTGCGAATTCAACGAACCCTGCTGCGTGAATCTCTTGTGGCAAACCTTGCATTCGTAGGGCCGCTCGCCGGTATGAGTTCTCAGATGCACAATCAAGTATTTCCGTACGCTGAACGCCTTACCGCACACTTCGCACACATGCGGCTTTTCACCCGAGTGTATGCGCATGTGAATCTGCAGATAAGTCTTGCTGCTGACGGACTTACCGCACACCTCGCACGTGATCTGATTCTCGCCAGTGTGGATTTTGAGGTGCACCTTCAGCGCGGCCTTCCAGTAACTCTCGAAGTTGCAGATAGTACACCTGTGCTTCTCCCTTTCGCCGTGGGATTTCATGTGCATGTTGAGGTAGGCCGCACTTGCATACGGGGTGTTGCAGATCTTGCACACAAATGGCTTCTCACCGGTGTGGGTCAGCAGGTGCCGGTCCAACGTCTGATTCGTGTAGAAGCCCTTACCGCAGATCTCACAGTGCGTCACGTATTCTTGATTGTGCTTCTTCTTGTGTAACCGCAAATCGTAGCCGGAGACCTTCGAGATGCCACATATGTCGCAGGTGAAGCGTTTGTTGTGCTGCTTCAAGTGAGTTTTGAGGAACTCTTTGGTCTTGAAGCACTTGTTACACAGGACACACTGGAACGGTCGCTCCTGCTGGTGCACCTTGATCATATGCTTCTGCAGCTTCTCCTCGTCGGCGAACGCCCTGTCGCACTCGTCACAACGACCTGCGTTGCCCTCATGACTTTGCATGTGCTTGAGAAACAGCTGTTTCTTCAGCATTCGCTTCCCGCAGATGTCGCATTCGTAAACCGTCTTGTGCCTGCG